TATATATATATATATTTTTTCCTGAACGGCTCAGTTCCAATTTTTTAAACCCGATTTGGGTTACATTCATAATATGCGGTCCGAGAGCAGCTACGTGTCATACGTTTTGTGCGATGCCCCTCCAGTCTGAAGGGCACGTATACGACCTCGACAAATCTCAGCTCCAAATCCCGCAGTGTGAAGCCGGCCGTTCACAATCATCCTTTCACATGCAAGTATATATATATATATTTTTTCCTGAACGGCTCAGTTCCAATTTTTTAAACCCGATTTGGGTTACATTCATAATATGCGGTCCGAGAGCAGCTACGTGTCATACGTTTTGTGCGATGCCCCTCCAGTCTGAAGGGCACGTATACAACCTCGACAAATCTCAGCTCCAAATCCCGCAGTGTGAAGCCGGCCGTTCACAATCATCCTTTCACATGCAAGATCAGCGGGAAACTCCGGCCCTCCTGATTCAAATAGGACCACCTGATCCGCTCACCTGTTGATACTTCTTGGCGTCCCAAACTTCCATCTGACCTCGAAGATTGCCGAATCCGGCCAGGACCAGGATGTGACCCTGCGGACTGGACCCGCCCGCCGTTAAAGAGGGGCTCCTCGGGAAGCGGGGACGGACGCGGTGGCTTGTCCTCACCTGTAGTAGGCGGCGTTGCGAGGGCCGGTCCCAAAGTCGAAGACGGCGTCACACTTGAGGTTGAAGATGGTGGCCTTTGCCGGCATGAAGCCGTAAACCACGCAGAACTCGCTCGAGTTGGGACTCCAGGCCACGTCGTAGATGGGGCCGTTCTTGGCTGACGGAACAAAGCAACCACGAGCCGAGTCATCTCATCTCGCCCGAAGAAGCCCCCGCCCCCCCAATCCAAAGCTCCAGCAGCAGCCCATGACAGACACACACAAAAACAAGGGCTGCTGGTCAGCGCTGGCGACACCAAGCGCCACCACCACCAAAGCGTTGGGACCTTGGAGGCATTACACACGTTTTGAATGCCGCTGCTCGCCTCCCCACCGGTACTCGTATCAAGAGGGAGCACGCACATGGCGCCTACTCCGGCACGCCTTCTTCACCGGCTACATTTTCCAGTTCATTTGAAGATTCCATTTGATTTGTTTTCCAATCTGGACACGGCCTCTCGGAGCTCCCGCCCGCTGCCTCGGGTCCGCGTGGGGCCGGACACAACCGGGGGTGGCGAGAACTAAGCGGCGCCTCCGAGGGGATGCAGCCTTTTCATATTGCCGCTCGCTCTCTTTGGAATGAACATTGGGCGAGCCCCCCCCCCCCTGGCGACTCACGCAGCTGCACGTGCGCCGTCTCTCCGCCGACGTGGAGGTAGTGCAGCGTCTGCTCGCCGTAGTACGAAGCTCCGCTCTTGTCCACCTCGGTGCTCGCCGTCACCAACACGGCCGACGCTGTCGCGACAAGAAGCGCGCGGGTCAGACTTGTCGGGGTCTTGAGACGGGCACAAATCACGAGTCTTGTGCTCCTTAAATTTGACCCAAGTGAGAAAGCGTCCACTGAGTCGGGACCTGACTTGGGTCAAGCAAGCACACCTCCAAGCGGAGGTCAACTGGTACAACCGTGCAATCTCACTGCAGTCGAGTGCCATCTTTGGAAAGTTTTTTTGAAGTCACAAGTCCGAAGCTGGGCACCTCCGGTGTGAGCGGCCCCAGTTTGACAGCACACACCCTCCACCCCTACCTTTGTTGTTCCACTGCATGTTGACGCGGTCGGCCTTGAAGAAGCTCTTGGTGGCCAGGGCGGCGTCGGGCCCCGCCAACTGCGGGTACTGGAAGATGCGCACAAACGATGGCGCCCCTTTGCTGCCAGGGACGTACACGCACACCTGAGGCGTAAACACACACACACACACACACACACACACACACACACACACACACACACACACACACACGCACACACCATCATAATCACCAACGGGGACGAGGAGGCGGGCGGGCGTTCGAGAGCAGGCGAGCATTTCATTGGTCACCTTGCTGGGATGACTTCCCGGCGAAAGCTCAAAGTTGGAAATTTTCTGCAAGTGAAGCTTGTTGGCGATAACGTCTGCACACAAAGATGCTTTAGCATTAGCATGCTAATGCTACATGGCCATTACAATGTGTGACTGATGCTATTTGTATTAGCGTGTCTAACGGCATTTCTCATTTTGTTTTTACTGTGTTTGCCAACACTTCAGGCCTCTTCGCATGTGTGGCCGCTTAGGTTTCGTTTTTTTTTTTCATCCCGACAACAAAACAACAAAGCCACACACACACACGCACACACACACGCGCACGCGCACACGCACACGCACACACGCACACGCACGCACACACACACACACACACACACACACACACACACACACTCATCCAGCCCACTGAAGGACGAAACGCCTGTTGTGGAATCTTAGCGTGTTAGCATGTGTGGCTAAAGTGTGTTTTGGAGTGCGTCGTTACTGAAATTGTTGTCCTCAAAGAAGTGCAGCTCGTTACTGACGATCCTGACGGCCACCTTCTCGTCTCGGGACCAGCTGGGACACCTGCGCGAGCGACATCGGCATCAAGCCAGGCCGCACGAGCGACATCAGGGCGGCCGCTCACCAGCCGTCCGCCTTCTTCTGGAACAAGCCTTTGAGCAGGCCGCCGCCAGGCAGCTCCCACAGACGAAGGTTGCCGTCGCCCTGGGCCTCCTGGCCGCTCTCTGAACACACAAGCCGCATCTTGCTCATTCTCCACCACCCCCCCCGAATAAAAACAAAATTCTGAAAAACCCGATGAAGATCAATGATCGTCTTACTGCTGTAGGGCTGCCAGGTGACCAGGATGTTGCCAAGAGGCGAGAACTGCAGCATGGTCGTCTTGGGGAGCTCCAACGTGGCCACCGACGAGCCATCCGACGTCCGCGCCACCGACACGCTGGCCCAATGTGCGACAAAGTCAACTCCGGGCGGCCATTCAAGCTGTTCTCAAATGTAATGCCTCTCCATGCATCAAGGTGCACCCCAAGGTTCCGCTCTAGAACCTATACTTTTTGCCTTGATGGATATGTGTTCCCCTACTGTCTTGTCAGTGGACCCTCAAGTTACAAGCTTCATTGGTTCCGTGAGCCCATTTGAAACTTGCAACATTCAGAAATCGAGGCCATATTTCGCGTTGAAATGAATGGAAATGCAATGAATCCGTTCCAGCCTCAAAATTGAGTTATCAATTAACTAAACCTGGATTTTTTTTGCTCCCTTGAAAGGGAAGCCGTCATCTCACTGATACCCCTCTTCAATTTTAATTCAATTTCAATGACAAGTTTATTGTCAAATGTGCTCTATGTGTAACATACAGCACAGATGTTTATTCTTCAATAAAGAGAATCGATCGGCTGAAGAGTGAGTGACTGAGGTCAGAGATTCATCAGAATCAGTGCAGGCGTGGTGGCCCCTTAAAATCTCGGACTTACACTTTTCCATTGCACCATGCCAACAGCGAGCCATCACGGCTGAACGTCAGGCAGCGGCTCGCGCAAGTATCCCTGCGTGTCACACACACACACACACACACACGCACAGTCACATGCTGTATGATGACATCACAAGTGATGTCACTGATGAGACCACCTGGGGAAGGAAGGGTGCTCCTGGCAGGTAGGGGTACTGCAGAAGAGCCATGTCCCGTCCGACCCCCTCACTGAAACAGATATACACTTGCTCACACACGCACACATAGCTAGATAGATAGATAGATACATTGCAATGTAAATAAACAGTTCACATTTCCATTCATTTTCCCCATATTACCAAGAAATGGGCGGAGGTGTGGAGCAGAAGCTTGTCAACAAAAAGTACTGTATAGCAATTCTGAAAAAAAAAAATCTGCAAATTTAATGTTGGCAGAGACACGAGTTGATGAAAAAAAATACTTGCACCGTCTCAAATTCCAGGGACAAAATGCAGCCATTCAAGGGGCAGGCAGTCTGGGGCCCGCGCACACTTGCACGAAAATGGACTGTCACTTGTATAGCGCTTTTCTGTCTCGGATTCACACACTTCGTTGTTAAGTTGCTGAATTGACGTAGCGAGTACGTGTTAGGTTCGGTTCAAACAGAAAAGTCAAGAACGCTACAAACGAAGCGCATCACAACTCCGACGTTGGAAAAGGTCAACGAGGCTGAAAAAGAGAAATAGGACGAAGTAACGAACCTGCTAACTGCGGGACTGGCGGCGCCATGTTGTTCACGTGCCAGAGGCGGGACACACTCCAACCGGTAATACGTCATTAGAAGGCTCGTCGCTCACTGCCACGTCAGCGTGGAAGTCGGGTTCAGGTCCACGTATCTATGCGGTTTATTTTTTAACTTGAATGATGTGCCCCAGCTGAGCATTGTTATGTTTTTTTTTCAAACAACAATGATCTTAAGCTAAAACCTACTTCATTTCCAACCCTTTTGTGACTTGTTTGATTAAACGGGGCGGGTACCGAGAGAATCCATTTCACTCACTCTCCCTCTGTTTAAAAATAAAAGTCTAGTGAGTCACTTACGAAGCGCAAAAAAAGACGCACCGAATACATCTTTCTATTAAGTTCAACCACAAAATTGGAGGGTATAGTCGAAATCAATACGGACTCGTATCTTTTCTCCAAATAGTATCAGGATTTCAACCAAAAGTTTTATGTTGAAATCGTGTTTCGGAAGTGAAGGTGGGCACGTCGACCTTGACTCGCCATGTCGCGGCGTGTGGGCGGGCCTTTGTCTTTTTGAGTACGTTGACGGTGGAAAGTCGCTCCCACTTCGGAGAGAGCCTCAGCGAACTGTCGCGGAGCAGCGAGGAGCCGAGAAAGGATCAAACTCGTCAATCTGACACTTGAACGACAAGATGGTGGCGAAGCAGAGGATCAGGATGGCCAACGAGAAACATAGCAAGAACATCACACAGAGAGGAAACGTGGCCAAGTCCACGGTGAGTCCGGCCAAAATCACGCAACACAACACGTCACGTCACAGTCGAGATTGATCAGGAGTCGGTTCTCGGTTCGCTCCGTCACGTCGGTCAGAAAATCAAAACTTGCTGATCGCTGTTCTTCAAAGTAAAAGCTGATGTCTGCCAATGTCTTATTTTGATGGATAATCGGTCCGCTTTCATGGCGGGCGACAGAAATCGCAAGATTTGCTCTGGTCAGACTGACATCAAGACGATTTGAGTGGAGGGGCAACAATTCATCGATTAACCAACAAGTAATCGATTCGCAAACGAATTTTCTATTTTGACCATCGATTCACTTGTCTCCAAAATACAAAAGTATGCAGTAGAAAGTAGCAGGCTCGAGGACCGACGCATGGAAGGAAACTCAACTCAACGGAAGATGTTTCAAATCGATTGTTCCTTCCAATAATTGGCGACAATTTGATTTTGCATTCAAGTGTTTCACCAAACATTAATTTGCATTCCGGCAGTTATTGTTTAGTCGTTTTACAAACTGACTTTACCACACGGGCGGCTGGGTGTCCGAGTGGTTAGCGCGTCGGCCTCACGGTGCAGAGGTGCAGGGTTCCATTCTGCCTCCGGCCTCCCTGCGTGGAGTTTGGATGTTCTCCCGGTGCTTGCCTGGCTTTTCTGCGGGTTTCCTCCCACATTCCAAAAACATGCGTGACAGCTTCATGGAACGCTCTCTAAATTGTCCCGAGGTGCGGGTGTGGGTGTGAGCGCCGATGGTTGTTCGTCTGTGCCAGCGATTGGCTGGCAACCAAAGAATGGGTTGAGTGGTTGTCGTGACAACGTGATTGTCACTAACGCTCATGTTTTTGTTTCAGAGGAACCTGACGGATGACAAAGGCGTCGGACCCTGGCTCCTCGCACTCTTCCTCTTTGTCGTTTGTGGATCAGGTAGCTTGGCTTCGCTTGTGCCTCTTTCAAACTTCACTTGTCAGTCCTCCTCGCGCCGTTCCAAATGGGCTCACCTGCTCGGCTTCCTGGACCGTGGGAAAGTAGCATGCGAGCGAGGCCCCGACTCCAGTTCGGCTTGATACGCGAGGATTTTTCCAATCTGAAAAGATGATGATGATGATGATGATGACGTTGCCCACACATCAACATTTCAAAAGAAACCCCAAAATCGGGCATTGAGCAGTTGCAATTTTTCCTCCAAACCTGGCGGGTAAGAGCACAGAAACAACAAAAGCCAACCGAGAAGTACTCGGCCCGCCAGGTGGAAGAAAAAGCCAGCTGCGTTTGGCTCATCCTGTGCGCGCCTCACCCGTTCCCGCAACGCGGCGGTCGTTATCGTAGCCCGAGACCGTATTGGACCCCGAGATCCCGACATCCGTGGTTCCAAGATTCCGACATCCGTGGTTCCATACCAGTTTGGGCTGCTAAACGTTGAACGTTGACGTCCTCGGTCAGAAGAAAAACTGCCCGATTGCCGTGTGGTGCGTGCAGGCTGTCGCTTTTTTTTTTCTCTCTGGCCCCCACGCCCCCTCTTCCTCCCCATGTGGGGCCCAATGAAAAAATGGGCAAGCGTGGGCCGTGTCAAAGCGATCCCGTGAGTGAAGACCTTTTGAGACAAGTTTCGACCTCTTGAGATGTTTTCAAAGCGCTTGCGATGCTCGGCAACGTCTTGAAGTCTTTCTCACCGTTTTGCGCGCGTGTGTGCGTGTAGCTATCTTCCAGATCATTCAGAGCATCAGGATGGGCATGTAGTGATGACATCATCACCACGCGGCCCCGATTTCAGCTGTGGCCGCCGCGCAACCGCAACAAATTCCCCCGCCGCTGCCCCCGCCGATACATTCCTGAACTTTGACCTGCCATCATTCCTGACCGGACCACCCCGCGCACACGCAAGGACACGTGCGCGCTTGTTTGCCCAACGTGTCACCGCGGACGACCTTCTCACCGTTGTTTGCCTAAGTCCCGCCCCTCGCTGATGAGACCTTATTGGACAGATGGGGGGCGGGGTCAAAGTACACCTGACGACCAAACCGAGAAGGAGCACGCATGTGGCTGGGCGTGAAAGAGAGAATAAAGTTTGATTTCCGCACCAAGTGTAAATGTGTGTGTGGTTCCAATTGTAATTTGCATATGCAAACAAATGTTCCATGTACACCTCCCACACAAGCAAATATCTGAACTGATGAAAAGGTGCTTCTGAATCTCAGTAAGATAAACAAACTAATTTTGAAAAGACACTTTAGATGCAGTTTGGGATAAATAAAATCCAATGCTAAAAAATAAAAAACTGCGAAATGTCATCTTAAGTTTCTAAAACTAAAATGTCCTTTTTTTCTTTTACTTTGTCATCCATAAATTGAAATGTATTCATTTGGCTGTTGCGGTGCGGCCATCCAGAAGAAGGTCATTGAAAAAAAAACACTAAAACGAAGCATGAAAAAAAGGGAGGAACAAATACAAACTGAATTTCAAAAAGGTCAAATCGGAAATCAAAACTGACGACAATAAAAAATGCTCATGAAAGTTGAGCATTTTTTATTGTCGTCATCACTTTTGTTTGTGTGTGCGTGATAATTGATCACACACACAAACAAAAGTGTCAGCACACACTGTTCTGAAAATCCTTTGGCAAGCGGATACGATCGCGTTTTATTTTGAAGAGTTGGGACCACAGCTGCAGACGCGAGCGGCGTCCGGCGGTTGTTTTGAAAAACGTCGCCCGGCGCTCTTGCAAATCAAGGCGGAAATAAATGTGCAGTCTGATCGGAGCCCCGGCGGAACAAAACGTGGCCGCGCGAATCCCGTTGACGTTCTTGTGTGACGACTTGAATGCTCGGTGACGTTCGGACCCGGTGATGACGACTTCGCTCGCTTTCTCCCGAGGGGTGCTGGGACAACGTGGGTGACGTCATCGGATACTCGCGGTCTCGAAACAACTTGATCCTAGTTTCCCCGTCTTTTCTCGCTCTCCAAACAAAAAAGGGCACGACTTCGTCTTGGCTAGCATCACACAAAGTTATTCAATCTCCTTTTCCAACCTAAAGAAAAAAAAATAGAGCACCGCAGATGGAAGTTTCAAATTCAAAGTTTAAGTTCAAACATGACGTGGACATTGACGTGCCAGCAAGCGAAGGAAGCAATCTTCTGATTTCTACCAGTAGGGGGCGTCACAAAAACCACAACAACGTTCATTTGCGCTTGCCCGAAACTCTCGATCTGAACACGCACAAACAAAAAAAATCATTTTAAAGAGTGACTCACTCGCGAAGCGACGTGAAACTTACTTTCCGGTGAGGATTTCGCAGTCCTTCTCTTTCCTTTCCTTTTCTTAATTTGCTTTTGTTAAGATTATATGATTGCCTTTTACGACTGAGCCAGTAGAGGGCAATATAACTCTACTTTTGTTCGTGGTGAGTGACGTGGGTCGGCCCTATAAAAGGGACACGCTTTTTCTTTTTCTCTCCACCTGTTCAATAAAACACGCCGATACATGGCTGAAGGAAACACCTCACTCAAAGCGTCATTCTTGGATGTTAGGCAGAAGGATGCCAATCTGCACGCGCTGTGAAGCAACTCCGCTAACAGCTTTCGACGTTCAAACTCAAATCACTCTTCTTCGCGGGCAACATAATCTCAGTAAGATAAACAAACTAATTTTGAAAAGACACTTTAGATGCAGTTTGGGATAAATAAAATCCAATGCTAAAAAATAAAAAACTGCGAAATGTCATCTTAAGTTTCTAAAACTAAAATGTCCTTTTTTCTTTTACTTTGTCATCCATAAATTGAAATGTATTCATTTGGCTGTTGCGGTGCGGCCATCCAGAAGAAGGTCATTGAAAAAAAAACACTAAAACGAAGCATGAAAAAAAGGGAGGAACAAATACAAACTGAATTTCAAAAAGGTCAAATCGGAAATCAAAACTGACGACAATAAAAAATGCTCATGAAAGTTGAGCATTTTTTATTGTCGTCATCACTTTTGTTTGTGTGTGCGTGATAATTGATCACACACACAAACAAAAGTGTCAGCACACACTGTTCTGAAAATCCTTTGGCAAGCGGATACGATCGCGTTTTATTTTGAAGAGTTGGGACCACCGCCGCAGACGCGAGCGGCGTCCGGCGGTTGTTTTGAAAAACGTCGCCCGGCGCTCTTGCAAATCAAGGCGGAAATAAATGTGCAGTCTGATCGGAGCCCCGGCGGAACAAAACGTGGCCGCGCGAATCCCGTTGACGTTCTTGTGTGACGACTTGAATGCTCGGTGACGTTCGGACCCGGTGATGACGACTTCGCTCGCTTTCTCCCGAGGGGTGCTGGGACAACGTGGGTGACGTCATCGGATACTCGCGGTCTCGAAACAACTTGATCCTAGTTTCCCCGTCTTTTCTCGCTCTCCAAACAAAAAAGGGCACGACTTCGTCTTGGCTAGCATCACACAAAGTTATTCAATCTCCTTTTCCAACCTAAAGAAAAAAAAAATAGAGCACCGCAGATGGAAGTTTCAAATTCAAAGTTTAAGTTCAAACATGACGTGGACATTGACGTGCCAGCAAGCGAAGGAAGCAATCTTCTGATTTCTACCAGTAGGGGGCGTCACAAAAACCACAACAACGTTCATTTGCGCTTGCCCGAAACTCTCGATCTGAACACGCACAAACAAAAAAAATCATTTTAAAGAGTGACTCACTCGCGAAGCGACGTGAAACTTACTTTCCGGTGAGGATTTCGCAGTCCTTCTCTTTCCTTTCCTTTTCTTAATTTGCTTTTGTTAAGATTATATGATTGCCTTTTACGACTGAGCCAGTAGAGGGCAATATAACTCTACTTTTGTTCGTGGTGAGTGACGTGGGTCGGCCCTATAAAAGGGACACGCTTTTTCTTTTTCTCTCCACCTGTTCAATAAAACACGCCGATACATGGCTGAAGGAAACACCTCACTCAAAGCGTCATTCTTGGATGTTAGGCAGAAGGATGCCAATCTGCACGCGCTGTGAAGCAACTCCGCTAACAGCTTTCGACGTTCAAACTCAAATCACTCTTCTTCGCGGGCAACATTTTGTGGGACATAGCGCCTGTTAGTGGACAGGAGGGACGTAGCACTCAACAGGCCTCACCGATTGCAATAATCGGCGACATGCCAATCATCTTTAGTGGAAACTTGGGGGGGGGGCGGGATGAGAGAGCGAGACAGAGAAATTGAGTTATTCTATTTTTACTTGCACTTGCGAAATGACCAATTTGCTGAAATTCACTGACATCATGTCGTGATTCATCAATGCTTTTCATTGATGCGAAGACACCAACCACAACGGTGACGAAAGGGATTCACGTCACGTCCTGCACTTTTGCTTTGACAAATCTCATCCAGTCTTTCCATTTGGAAAGGATCACGTCGACAACATTCCTTGGAGGTCACAATGCGCCTGAGGGGTCAGCTACGATTGGAACAGGCCCGCGGGCTCCTCATGTGGTCCATCACGGACGACACATTGGACATTTTGTCTTGATTTGTGACTTTTGTTCAACTCAAAATGAGGGGGTGGGGGGCGTGAGTGCAGACAAAAAGAAAGCCACCATGTCACCACGGTAACATTCGCCATCGACTTGACAATTATTATTCACGACCGTTGTTGATCTTTGTGCGTACTTGTCACTTATTCCTAATGAAAGTTTCTCAGGCGGTTTCCGTGGCCACCGGATTCTTCCACGGCAACCAAATGTTTGCCGCCTGCCCGCCGAGACAAGAAAAGACGTCAAGCGTCGTGACGTGAGCTCGCCAAGTGTCAAGTTCAAAGGGCGCCACGTTAGCGTAGCCCGCATGCTAAAGAGCCGTCCCACACTCGGCAAAAACGTTTGAGTTGAAATGAAGCGGGAGCGTCCAACGGAACGATGTTCGAGCAGTTCGAGCTCGAGCATCCTGATGCTCGACCTTTGAGAAAATCGACCAGCTACTATTTGAACACTCCAGACAGAAAAAAAAAAGGGGAAGAAAGCCATCGATTTCAAAGCAACCTCAATAGATGTGCTCAAAAGACGCCCGAAAAGTTCTCCAAGTACACTCGCATCGACTGAAACGCTCCCTCAGAGTCGATACTTCCAGAAGCACTCCAACATTTCGAAATAGTGAGCCCTGGAGGTCCTCGAACGCTTCCTACAAAGTGAGCCAGCTAGTCTGAAACGTGCCCTAAAAGTCATCCAAATACTCCGCTACGGTACAGCTCCAAGATTTGTTTCTCTCTCGGGGCTATCGTCGTCGTCATCGTCATCAATCGTCGTCGTTGTCACAGGGGCGGGCGGGTCAGCCGCGGCCCCGGTCCGGGTTCCGGAGGCGGACGCTCCAGGAGTCGGCGGCGGGGCCGCGGCCGCCGAGACGGCAGGTGTAGACGCCCTCGTTGAACTCGTTGGCCACGATGCGGAGGTCGCGACCTTTCAACGCGATGTGTCCCGGGACGGACGCCGCGATGCGCTCGCCGTCTTTGTACCAGCTGAGGACACAAGCGCACGGGTCCGGTTGGCGTCGTCGCGCATCGACCGTACGGCGGAGCGGGCCGAGAGCGCGGCTGCGCCGCCGCGGTCCTCCGGGGCCGACGCCCGCCGTGCCGACGGTTTGAATCGGCCGCGGGCGTCGGAGGAGCGCGGTAGCGCGACTGTGACCGAGAAGGATGCCAAAGCGCCATTCCGTTTCATGGCCGCGCAGCCGATTTCGAGCGGAAAACTTGCCGATCGCCGAGATCGGAGTGGCCTCGGACCACCGTGCGGGTGGGCTGACCTGACTTTGGGTGGCCATCTTGCTTTTGGGTTCTTGGGGCTGCAGCGGAAGGCCACCACCTTCCCGCGCGGGACCACCTTCACCCTGACGCTGGCGGGCGGCGTCGGCGTGGCGACGACCTCCGGGGGCTCTGGAGAGGGTCAGGTTGGGGGAAGGCGGGGTCGTGAGGATGGCGGCGTTAGGGGAGGGGCGGGGTGGATCCAGACTCACCCGAGCACAGGCGGCAGCGGCGCGGGCAGGTCTTCTTCATCAGGCGTTTGCGACGCTCGCACAGGCCCGAGCCCGCCCAGCGCTCGCACGCCCGCTTCTTGTCCACGCAGCCTGAGCGCAAACGCACAAAACGGACATAGTGACGCGCACGCAACACGTGCTCACGCCTGGGCAAACACACACACACACACACAGATGCAAAGGCGCAAGCCTCGCCGGTCTGACCGTAGAGCCTCCGTATGGCCCGGACGTCATCGCGCCCGACGTCCCTCTGGCCCGTCGTGGTGGCGTTGGGGTGCATGAGGGCGCGCGGGTCGGCCGAGTGGCGCAGGCCCAGCGCGTGGCCGATCTCGTGGGCCGCCACCTGCACCAGGTCGTTCAGCCACGCGCCTGCGCGCAGAAGCCAAGGTGGGCGACGCGGGCGAGCGCGGCGGCTCGCGGCTCCTGGCGCCGTACCTCGTCTCCAGCTGAACCTGGACCTCCCGACGATCCACAACTCGTCCTTGTCGAAGTGGATCTCGCCGCGCGGCGGCAGGAACGCGTGGGCCAGCTCGCCGTTGACCCCGTCGAAACACGGATGGAGAGGCGATGACCCGCAGTCCGAGTGGTTCAACGCGTAGAAGCCTTGCGTGTGCACACAAACGTACACTGTGACGGTGCCTCACATTCACTCTCTCACACACACACACACGCACACACACAGGCGCACGCACGCTGTCGATAGGCAGGCAGACAACACTTGCGCGCGCGAACTCGGATGCGCGGTACCGATGGTGATGTCGGCGTCGCGCCGGCGGACTTCGGTGAAGCTGAGCGGCGACACGTCGCTCCACTTGGAGAAGGCCACGCCGAGCGCCTCCCGAGTGGCGTTCGCGCTCAGCGTGTCGGGGAACGACTCCAACCTGCTGACGCACACGCACGCGCAGGCGCACTGACTGAAGGTGCGACTGGGACTACATGGGTGTCAGCGTGTGTGCGACGGAGTTTTTGTGTGCGTGTGTGTGTGTGTGTGTGTGTGTGTGTGTGTGTGTGTGTGTATATACTGCATCTGTCGGAGCGCGTGGTGTTAGCTTAGCAGGCTAAGCGGCCGGCGTCACCTGTACGAGATGTTGGCGTGCGTCCACTTGCGTCCGAGCGGGTCGAAGGCGTCGCGCTTGCTGACGTGGCGGCGTGACGAGGCCGCGCTCGCGCCGAACACCTGCAACACCGCTCCTGTCATCGTCGGCGAGTTCCTCCGCTGACCGCCAGAGGCCGCCGTTAGCCAAGTCGGCAGCGGAGCCCCGCGCCCGACCGCGCGCCCCAACTCGCTTGATCACACGCGCGCAGAACCACGTCATCAATCACGCTCGCTCCACTCACATCGATCCTCTTACTCGCCGACAATAACTCGCGCGATCACGCGCGCCAAGTCTCAAAGTCACGCACGCGCGAGCGGACGCGCATCCGCGCTCGCGCCAAGTGACTTCACGGGACGGACGCGCGCGGACGAAACGTTCACAACAAACAGAACGCAGGCTGACCTGCGACACCGCCATCAGCGCAACCAGGACCTCCATGACGTCACCAAAGCGGGTACATGACGCGGCGCGGTCTCTCGGTCGGACGTCGGCTGAGTTCCACGCGCGCGAGAGCCAAGCCAAGTTCCGAG